GACGCCAATTTTTTTTTTTCTTTTTATTTGTCATAACGATAGGAAACACTCGAATAAAACACCAAACCACAGTTCGAATACACCCAGACCAAATCCAAAAAAGCCGAAAAGAGAGAGAACTACACGTAGGTGGCGTAGACTGGACCAAACAAGGCTAAGAAGCTAACGTAATTAAGAATACAACTGAAACCATAGGCTCTAAACAAGAAGACAACCAAACAATAAAAGGAAAAACAAACATAGACACAAGGACTTCCACTGATACACCGATCATAGAAACATCGGTATACTTGTCTTCTACTCCCAGAACCACCTGGCCGGTGCACAACCTCAAACTCAGTTCAATCCATAACAACTGCATTTACAATGCGAGGAACCGGCCTGAAGCTTTTCTCAAATTACCATAAATTTCGAGACTTTCAAAGCCACCAAAAAAATAGGTTGAGAGTTGAATCAAGACTTCTGAAACCTCAGTTTTATCAAGGTCACTGATATGCCACCACTAGTTCCTAAAAGACCTAGACCTTTGAGGACCTCCCATCTAACAGGAGCTAATTTCCAAACCAGTTGGGCTTTATGACAGTGAAAAAAACATGCTCAAGTGTTTCTTTTTCTGAACCACACACCTTACATATAGTATCAACTTTTATCCCATTTCTCTTCAAGTTAACACTCACATGAAGATTACAAGAAATACACTTCTGAACAAAGTGCTTTATCTTGTCTTTAATCTTCAAACTCCACAATCTGTTCCTAACCTTCAAATCTTTACTGAAAGCCACACTATATTGGGCTCTGTCAAGCTTTAACACTTTCTTGTCAATGAGAAAAGTACAAGTGTTAGAAAACGAGAATTTACCCTTCTTATTCAACACCCACACCCACTTATCAGCCACATCAGAGTTAAGAGAATTTATCTTCAAGATGGCTTCACAATCCTCCTCATTGAAAACCTGCCTTAGAAGCTGAACAATCCAAGTGTAGCCTCCTTGAGATATTAGATCACTAACCTATAGTAAGCCTGTCTCGATTCCAGGTTTGAAAGATAACCTTCCTCCTGACAGCCTTGGCACCCAATATTCTTCTAAGATTTTGGTACCCCTGTCATCTGCCACTTCAATCATCATCCATTTCCCACAACTCTCTCTGACTTTCAGCCATCTATTCCAAAGTCAGGAAGAGTTTTCCTTCTTCTAAGCACCAAAGAAATAAGAGTTAGAAAAATATTTGGCTTTATGAATTCTACTCACAGGTTAGGTCAAAATTCTCCATAATTATCTTGCAATGAGGGCCTCATTGAATAGTTGAATATCTTGGAACCCTAATCCCTCTTGCTTCCTTGGAAGAGTCAGCAGGTTCCAAACCTTCCAATGAATTCTTCTCTGAAAATGACTTCCTTTGCTCCTCTAGAAACATGCACACACACTAGCAATTTTCTTGCAAAGACCCACAAGTAATAGGAAGCATGACATTGCAAAAACTAGAAGAGCATTTAAAACAACTTTGATAAGAATTTTCTTTCCACCAAAGGACAACCACTTGTTCTTCCAACTCAGAATTCTGCTTTTAAAAACTGACAACACATAATTGAAAGCTTTTTTTTTTTTTTTTTATTTTTTTTTTTTTTTTTTATTTACCTATCTCCAATTGTAGGCCCAACTATCTAGTAGAGTGATGTAATTTTGTCCCATGTAAAAGCTGGCAGCACCTGCTCTGTACATCCAGAGGAGTTTTTTTACTAATGAAAATCAAAGATTTATCAAGATTTACCTTCTGACAAATAAAAAGCCGGTAGTTATTCAAGATAGCCAGAAGTTTCAGCACTTGGTTCTCTTCAGCTTTACAGAAGATCGGAGAGTCATCTACAAGCAGGAGGTGAGTCAACTGAGGTCCTCCTCTGGCCAACCTAATCCCTTTAATACCAGCTCTTTGTCGTTATGGAGAATTTAACAACAGTAATAAAACATAATGAAAGCGTAAAAAGTGTAGATTTTGTATTATTGTTGTGTATTTGCAATGTACAAGAAGTCGGTTTATGTGTGAAACGAGTTGTTTTTACATATGCCTCTCGAATGTCTGTCCAGAGATTCCCCGTACAATAATAAATTCTACTATTTTTAGTAGTATGTGTTTGACTTTGTGTACGAGGTAGATGTGATCGCATTAAATGCAAAGTAACTTTTTGAGGCAGTCTGTTGGTCAATGAACAAACAGTAATGATTTCCATTTAGCACGTGGTCCAATTGTATGGGTGTCTGGTCATCTGCTTCAGTTTTCAGTCATCTAAGACTTCGGGTTATAGGATGAATTTTCGAGAAGGAAAAAGTCGGTTGCGAAGGGATCTGGGATAATTCGGTCATAATCTTGAGTGCGAAGTCTGTTATTAACTGCCACGTGTGGATAGATGATTGGTCCATTTGGTTTAATGTCGGGTGATGAATCGTTTCATCCAAAGAGAAGCATCTCTTGCACACGCCCCATTGTTTGGGGTCCAACGGTTATAATTCTGACACTATAAATATCCGGCGGTTTCAATCTTATAGGATTTTACTCTCACCATTTCTAAATTTGCATATTCTTCAACTGCTTTTGCTTGTGAATCTCTTCTTAAGTTCTTTTCCTTAAGCGACGTTAGTATACCCATCACCTAGGGTTTTGATTGCTCAGTAAGGCGTTGCCCTAATTTTTTCCATGGTTTTTGTTTTTGCTGTCAAATTTTCTGTTTGTTGCCAGAAAATGGCTTTGGTAAACGACGAACAAACGGAATCCAGTAGTAGTCGAATGATTTCTGAAGAAAGAATATATGACGACGAGGATATGGAGTTGTCTCTTAAGTATCACCGATGGGATTCATTTCTCGTTGAACGCCTCGTTATCAAAAAAGGTAATGTTGAGGAGGATTTGGTAATTGAAAGAGATGCCATGGAGTTACCCGATTATTGGAGGCGACCAACACGTCGGTGGCCAGAAGCAGATGATGACTATTTGGGTGAACCAAGTATTCTGACTGACGCTGACGTGGTATTGCTTAGAGAGAATGTCCGCGTCCCACCCTCGGTTAGACTTTTTGCCCCATACCCGGGAGAGAGGATTACTTGCCCGCCTACTTGGTGTGTCGATGTTTTCGCAGAGAGTTTAAGGTCGGGGTTGCGATTCCCTCCTTCTCGTTTGTTCACTGAGTATCTGCCTGATTGGGGGCTGAGCTTGTGCCAAATATCACCTAACAGTTGGAAACGGATGATAGGGTTAAATGGTCTTGTTGAAAGAGAAGAACTGGGACTTGCCCTCGACAAGCGACATTGTTTCTTTTGTGCGGGCCAGCCACAAGTAAGGGTTAAAGTCGGTGACTTGGTTACCGAGGTTCCAGATACCTTTCACGGTTTTCAGGAAGAGTGGTTGTAGGTTGGTGGTGATTGGCAATGTCCCAAATTTCTAACTGAGACTTTAATTGATGGGATGACTATCCCTCCCGATTAACATTTCTTCTATATACTATAAGTTTTGTCTTTCATACAGAGTTGTTCTGATTGATTCTTCTTTTTCTTTGCACTAACAGGTTGGTGCTTTTCCTATTTGTAGCTATACGTACCAAAGAGCCCAAACTTAGTACCGAATTGAAGGACCGCATTGATAAAATTATGTGAATATTTGAAGCTCGTTGAGCACAAGTTCAGTGAATATTTGAAGAAAAGAAAAAATTATGTGATTTTTATGAAAATATTTTTTTAACATTCTAGCCCAGTCTATACTTAATTTCTTGATCCGTCCCTGATTACGCTTTGATTAATATAATTATAGTGCTTTGCCACCTTAATTAGCTAAAAAATGGATAAGATATTTTTAATATTTTGCAGCAAATGAGTAGCCCATATTTATATCTATCTAGATTAAGCTCACTTTAATTTCATTTTCATAAATTAATTTCAATATGTCAAGCCAGCGTGAACGAGGCCCGCTGAATGGTTTCGGTTCATGACAGTTCAAGAGCCAACTAGGTCCAGCAATGAATCAATGATCCCATTGTCGTTGTCTCCACCGCAAAGTACTGCTACTAGGACACCATCGACTCGCAAAAGTCAATAAGGTAATAGAACCACGAAAATTTTGACTCTCAAAGAAGAGGATACGTAGGCTAATTTAAACACTACACATTAAAGTATCGTTTCTAATTTTCAGTATTTTAATTAAACCCTAATCAATTTCTTTTATCTTTTATCTCATAAAAATAAAATTCATATTATATTTTAGTTTTTACTTTTAAAAAAAATACATTGGTCCCGACAATTCAACCCAGAACATATAGGTCAAAACCAAAACTGGAATTGCAACCACCAAACATGAAGTTGATTCTATGTAAAGAGTTTATAACATTGTTTTTAAAATCGGACCAGACTGGTTGGTTCAATTAGTAATTGGTCTGTTCACCTGTTCAATTCGCTAAAATGAACCGGTTGGTAGTGAACTATTCAAACATTAGTCAAAACTGGTAGAACCAGCCAAAAATTGGCAAGTCAGACTGGTTGAAACCGTTTCAAATTTAAAAAATAAAATAAAATTCAATATATTTTAATATAAATAAAGTTATATATAATGGATATGTATATATTATATTTTAATTAATTTTTGCAGTTGAACATTTAAATTGCCTAATTTTTAATTAATAATATTTTTTATGTAAAATTTATTATATATATTTTAAATTATTAATACATTAAATATCGATCAATTCAATTCAACTAGTGACCTAACCAATAAACAATTAAACCAATAGTTTGGCCGGCTTAAAAAACAGTACCTTTTTAATTTTTATAAACCTTTGACCCGTTGGGTCCCAAAAGGCGGGTCAAGTACACCTAACTGGTAGTTGCATTTTTTACCGTATTTTAAAAAGTAAATCAAATTCCATTACCTAAATCCTTATGACGTTGTCGTTTCCAATGTTTAAGCCAATTATAGGCATTGCCCCGCACTTAATAAATAAAAATTAAAAAAAAAAAAGGGAGTACATTATTTTCACTTATCCAGTGAGACTGATGATGCATCTTTCCAAACAACATCACCGTAATCAAAAGTCCTCACAAAAGAGGAAATCAACTGCTCAGTAACAACTTCCTCAGGAGGAAGCAGCATTTCTTTCACCTCCCTCTGCAAAGATGTAACCTCTTTATCTGCAATCCCACAAGGCACTATATGCCCAAAGTAACTCAAATCCGGGTTAATATTAAAAGCCAGCCCGTGAGATGTAATCCCGGACGATATACGAACCCCAATCGCCCCAATCTTTCTCTGCTCAATCCAAACCCCGGTTTCGCACTTTTGTCCCGCACGAGCTGCCAAACCATACACAGAAGCCAGCTCAATCATCGTGAGCTCGAGCTTCTCGACGTATTTTCGGGCCCCAAGCCCGAGTTCTCTAAGAGAAACAATGGGGTACAAAACAGCTTGGTGGGGCCCGTGAAAAGTGACATCACCTCCTCTCTCGGTGTAGTAGAGCTCGGCTCCCATGGCTTTGAGTTCGGACTCGTTGGCTAATACGTTGTGTTGCGTTCGTCTTTTTCCGAGGGTGTAAGTCGGAGGGTGCTGTAGGGAGAGGAGAGTGTCTGTGATCTTGTGTGTTTTCCTGTCGGATGTCAGTTTCTCTTGCAGCTTTAGTGCCTGCGAGTAATTCACGACACCCATCTTCCATATCTCCAGTTTTCTAGGAATTCTCATCTCCTCCTGGTAACAAATAGTCACAAGATATCAAATTTTACCCAAAAAAAACAAATTTTGTTAATGTGTATAACTATGTGATAGAACTAGCTCACAAGAATCCCCGGCATCAGTGTTCAACTGAGCATGTTTTATAGTTTAGTCATAAGAACAATGGAAATTCAAATATTCTAATGTGAAAAAATATGTGATACAACAAGCTCACAAGAAGACTAATCCCCAGCATCAGTTGAAAGTATATTTTATAATTTAGTCATAAGAACCGAGGGAAATTCAAATATTTCAATGTGAATCACCAAGGCATCAATTTAATCTCGTTTCTCTTGCCAATATTTTATTATCACATAAATCCTACAACATAAAGCCAACCATAAAATATGAAAACAAAAGCATAAGCAATCTCATACTATTTGGTAATGCCTCAACAATAAACTGCTGAAAGTACTTGAACAAATTATAAAAAATAATAATAATAATAATAATAATAATAATAATAATAATAATAATAATAATAAAATAAAAAAGAAAAGAACATCTATTGAATTATCTTCTCTCATCATCCTCGGCCTCAGGCTGCACAGATAGCTCAAACTCGGAACTCCATTCATCACATGCACCAGAATCTCCCCAAGTTTCAAATCCACTGCCTCTGAGACCACACCATTAACCACCACCATCCCTTTCAAAGTCTTCGATAAGTACAAAGTGAATCCCGATATTGAATCATAGATTTTCTGCTTCCCGTACTCCAAATCTGCCACATAAACATGTCTCAGTAAGGCTGAGAACCCCAAAACCCGCGTGAGTGTTGCATACGCATCATCACTGTCATTTCTACTCAATCCCAGATCGTGGCGAAAGGCTTCCTCCGAAGGCAGGAAAAGGGTGAACGGCAGATCTTCGGGTAACATCCGAATTACTGTTTTTCCGAGTTCGCCGATTTTTGAGTATTCAGTCGTGGAGATTTTGTGTTTGGGTGAGGAAATGGTTGACAAAGGGATTTTTGTGAGGTGGATTGCTGAAATAATCTGTATGATGATGAAAGAAATGGAGATGACTATGCAAACCAATTTAACAGGGTTCAAAACTCCTATGTTTCTTCTCATTTTCGCTAACCGCTGGAAAAAGTTGCAAGTGAGATATGACGAGCTTGTGTGTGCTCGAACGACAAATTTGTTTGTTTTTTACCTCCTGCAGAGATGGGAAAAGTAGATGATTTGACCGAATAAAATTTAGGTTTCTTGAACTTGAAGATCAAGATTCGGGATGTAAAAGGTTCGGTTGGAAAATCTTTACCCGACCCGCACACTCCACCCTTACCCAAACTTAACCCATTACGACATTACCTGATTATTAACACTCGGGTAATGTTTGGGTATTACCAGTCGGCAGTAGGGATGTAAATGGGTCGGGCCGGGATTGGCATACCCGTACCCGACCCGCCTGCTACAAAATGTACCCGTTACCCGGCCCACTACCAGATTATCCACCACCGAGTTCGGGTTGGGTTTTACCCGTTGGGTAATCGGGTACCCGAATTGGTGCAGCCGATCAGGTTTTTTTACTCGATTACCCGAATCTCACCCAGTTACCCTACACCCAACCCGACCACAGAATTGAAATCATTTTAGATCAATATCTGAACCACAGAATTGAAAAACATTCAGTCATTATAATAGCACTTAAATATAAGAAATTGAATCAGAATGTTGCACACAATTATCAAGCTTCAGCCTTCAAGCCACAGTAAATGAGAGATACATTTTTGAACATTAATCTGTTGTAATTTGACAAACACAACAAGAAAAAACGAAGTGGAAAGGAGAAAAACACAACAAGAAAAAATTATCAAGCTTCAGCCTTCAAGCCTCAGTCCATTTTTAACAGCCCTCCGTCCCTTCACCCTCACTCTCAGTCCCTTCACCTTCACCCTCACCCTCACCCTCACCCGCAGCAAGAGGATTTGAGAACATATAGTACAAGTGGAAAGGAGAAAAAACGAAGGAAATTTTGAGCTACACTAATAATTTTCAATTAACAGATAAAAGTGAATCCACATGCACACTGAAATTAAGAATCTCAAGGATGAGAAACAAATAATTTTTTCACCAAAAAATAAGAAAAATAAAAACTTTACCTCCTTGCAGTTAACAGTCGATCGGAGGCTCGGAGCAGCGATTTGGGGACGGCGGACGGGCGGAGGTGCGGAGCAACGACTTGGGCAGGGACGGATTTAGATGTACTATAGGGGGGCAATTGTCCCCCCAAATTTTTTACTTTTTGTCAATGTTATGAAAACCGGACCGGTTCGAAAACCGGACCGGTCATCGAACCGGTCAAGCTACTGATTCAATAGTTCACTGGTCCGACCAGTGATTGAACCGGTTGGACCGATATTTAATATATTAATATTTTTAAATATATATAATATTTTATATAATAAAATTTATGTATAAAAGATTTTTTAATTAAATATTAAGCTAGTTTAAAACATCAAACACTTAAAATAACTAATAATATCTTATATATATCCATTATTCAAATATTTGCTGACAGAAGTAAAAAAAAAAATAAAATAAAAGTGGGATGTTTAATCTTTCTTTCATTCCGTCAATCAAAGATTCAAAGCTGAAAACTTCTTTGGCATCATGTGTCCCACTCCCACATTGCTTGAGAATACTAAATTGAAGGAAATAATGGCTATAAAAGTGAGCACAAAAGAAGATATTAACTAGCCATTCAATAAAGCAAAATCGTGTGATTGGTTTATAGTAAAAAATTAACAAGTTAATGGGTTACATCACATGTTGGGCTTTCCAACTTGAAAGAAGTAAGTTTGGGCTGGTCCATTTTGGAATCACAAGTTCAAATATTAATCTTACAGTCCAAATTTTAAAGTATAAAATTAAAAACCGTTGGGCCAACAAACCGTTCCTGGTTTATCGGTTTTACTGATTTTCAACCGGTTTGAACGGTTTCTGAACGATTTTTCGAATTACCGGTTAACGGTTTTTCGGATTATCGGTTTTATATAGAAACCGAACTGGTGTTATGGCCGGTTCTCGGTTGAACCGGTCGAACCGACCGGTCCGGTCCAGTTTTCATAACTATGCTTTTTGTTTTATATATATACACATTACTACCTAAAATATGTAACACATATTACAATTACAATCATATTGAATTTATACATGTATCCAAAAATTATTACTAACTATTAGTATGGTCTATCTAATAATCTTTTATAACTACGTTAAATCTTTTAAGTAAATTCATACCCTCTTCAAATGTAATATTTGGTGTTTTTCCTTCTATATTATAGAACTTAATTGAAGTGAATGTTGAAATATTAAAGTCCAAAACTTATATCTTTTTTAGAGCATATTTATTATTTATTTTATCCATTTTATAATACAATTTTATGTCATATATATACATAAATGTGTGATATATTAAAAATTATATATTTCGTCTGAGGTGTTAAGATAAACACCTCATGATGAAGCTCATGTTTGTCTAATAAAGGAATCATCTCAGCTTCACTCATTTAATAAACGAACAAAAATGTGAGCTTGAGCTTGTTTCATTTAATAAACAAATTCAATTAGTTTTTCATCTTAGCTCATTTAAATATATAAACAAGATGAGCTCATACTTTCATTGGTCAAATGGAATTTGTTCACAAATAATTCATTTTCGACAACAGTTGCAGTCCCCCCAAAGAAAAATCTCTGGATCCGCCCCTGGACTTGGGGACGGCGGACGGACGGGGGAGATTTGGGGACGGCGATAATTTGGGGACGAGAGCGAGAGTTGAGACGACAGGATAGAGGAGACGGGCAGACGGGGAGTGGAGTGGATGAAGTTCAGACGGGCAGAAGATGAAGTGCAGACGGGCTGCGGGCAGAAGATGAAAAGTGCCAAACTTGAAACTCCTCTTGCCTATTCTGTAATGCAGATTTTTTCGGTTTAATAAGATATTGTACAATACCCGTGGACGTTGAATTACAAAGTTTTTGTAACAAATATTAATTTTTTTTAAAAATTAAAATAATTTAATTTTATATAAAACATTACTTTGGGTTTTAATTAAATTATCAAATTATATTTTTTTAATCATAATAATTAAACACCCGTACATTAAATGAAAATATCAACCCGTGTTGAATTTTTTTATTTATATCATATAAAAACATTGATATTATTTACTATTACATAAGTACAAAAATATATATCTTAAATAAATAGAAATAATATGGTGATATGTATATGCATAAGTGTATAATATGTTTATTTAATATCAAGCAAAATAGATTAATTTTTTTACTTAATTAGATGTCTAATACGCCAAGTGTCGTATCAGTCATGTTTCACAGTTTTTTAAATTTTATATGTAATTTTAGAATTTAGATAAATAATTATTTATTTTTATTAGATTGAAAACATACAAAAATTAGATTTAAATATCAAATTTCTATTACTTTATAATACAATTTATAGTTTTATTTGATATAATTTAATTTAGTTTGATAAATAAATTTAAATTTTATAAGGATATAAATTACTGTTTTGTACTTTATATATATGGATGTCAAATCGAAAATCGTTAAAAGATAGTTAATTTGATATATCTATTATGATATAAAATAGTTTATGGTAATTAATTGTAGAAATAAGGAAGGAAAACATCAATCGTGGATTTAGTGTGATAAAAAATATTAATTTATATCCAAGCCTAACTCCAAAGCATAGTTTATATATAGAGGGGATTATATTATAATAATTATATATACTAAAATATAATATAAAGATTAAATATGAAAATTGTATTTTAGTTTATTTTTGTCTAGTCAAGTTAACTAAAGACTAGATACCTCACTATGAAAATTATCTTTTAATTTATTTTTCTCTAGTCAAATTCACTAAAATTAGATATCTCATCCTATATTTTTAAAGTTCTATGCATTGTAATTCTTTTTATGTAACATATTTCTAATTTTCTATGCACTTTAATTCTTTTATTTAATTTTTGGAAGATGGAGTGGAAAAGAAGTTGAATATTTTAAATGCAACTCAAAAGTTGGTAACAAAATGTGTATTTCTTAGCAAACAATAAGTTAATAGTATGTTTTAACTTTTAAATAACTTTTTTTGTGCAAGAAGAACAACAAAAGACATTTATATTTAATTCCACCCTATACAAGTTTGAATTATATAAGTTATTTGAGTAGTGCTCGTGAAAGTTGTGAAAGATGTATTTACTGAGTTTGATTTATAAGGAAAATAAATGATTAAATGAAACAGTCTTTAATATTGGACGACAATTTTTACGTAATAGAGTAAGTGAACATAAGAAATTTAATTGTTATATTGTTTAATATGTAAAACATATCAAGTTAAAAGGCGCAATCTTTATACCAAACTATTCATACGATTGTTTTTATGTTTTTTGTTGATTTAGGAATCACTTTTTTAACAAATATTTGACATTCTTAACTATATCTCTCTTATTCTTATAAAAAAAAATGATAACCCTTTGGTTTCACGCCACGTGGCTCATGCTGAAACCTTTATTTTACATCCTTTTGACAAACGACGTCGTTTTGTCTTTTGCTTAATTCTTAAGCGATAGGTTTTTTATGAACATGACCAACCCGTCTTCTCAAATCAAAAGTCAAAACATTTTCTCACAAACCCTCGCTACTCATTTTCCACGCAAACGCCGCCCCTTTACGGCCGCTTGCAGCCCTAGCCTCACGACAGATACCTTCATCTGAAAAATGACGCTGAAATTTTGATCCGTCTCAGGTGGTCGTCGTGTTCGTCGTCACCAGCTGTGAGGTCGGCGCGGCGTACTCCCTCGCACCCAAGATCCCACCACTCGGCCTCTCCCCTAATAAGATCAGCGAGGACATCGCCAAGGAGCAGGGGCGGAGCCAGGAATTTAAGTCGACCCGGGCTAGAATTATTTTTTCAAAAAAAAAAAAAATATATACATTTGCATATTTATATAAAATAACTGATAAAAAATGTACATTTTTATAGCATTCCAACAAATGGTTTGTTTTCTTTATTTCTCATCTACAGCTTCTTTATCCTGCATAAAATTTACAAAATTAAACAAAAAAAACTATTCAACCAATTATTTCATTTTCATGTATGATGAATTTAAATATTTTTAAATAAAAGATAAGATGATTTGCGTAGACGTATCCAAAGTTGTGATCTACGATTCTTTGAAACAGAATATTCATCAATTATAGAGTTGGAATCAATACTTGTCGTGAATATAAATTTATAACCCCACACGTTCTAAAAACTAAAGTAATTTATTAAACATGATTAATTGAAAATTTACTAAAAATTATAAAAAATAAAGAATAAAATATGATGACACCAAAAAACTTCAGATAAATTTTTGTGCACATTTACTGTGTTAAAAAGAGAGATGAGAAGATCTTAGTATAATTATAAATACCCACTTGAAGTTTTTTTGTTTCTTATGACTCAAAACATTACGTATTTATGTTAGAGATGGAAACAACTTTTTTTTTTATCCTTATCATATGCAATTCCTAATTCACTAAGAAGCTAAATATGAATATAATTGGATGATTATTGATATTAAACATAAATATAATTGAATGATGTTAAACTAATTTAAAGAATCTCGCACCAAAAGAAAAAATTAATTTAAAAAATCTTACCACTCCAAAATGATGTTGGGACAAGGTCACAGGGCACACGGATTTGTAGACAATTTCTGTGGAGAAGCGGGTCCCACTTCAGGAATATCTTTAGCAGTTGATGATGTTAAACTTTAAATCTTTTAATTGGACTTCGTATGTTATAATTGTCTTGGACTGGGTGGGCTACTTTTGGTTTATTGAACTTGGGCCCAGGCTAAAGTATAAAAATCCAAAACAAAGTAACATAAAATACATATGTGGACTATAGATCCACCTGGGCTACAGCTCAGGTAGCTTTGGATGTAAATCCGCCCCTGCCAAGTACTGGGAGGGCCTCTGCTTTACCGTCAAGACCACGGTCGAAAGTCATTGTCGTGCCCTCCGCCGCCTGACACGAACGCCGTCGCTTGTCCACCGCTTGCTCCTCTACCCCATCCGGTACGCCCTCATGGACGCCGACACTGCGCCACCCGCCCACCTCTCGCCCGCTGATGCTCGTCTTGTTTCGGCGTTTTAAGTGAGTTCTTGGGAGAATGTTTAAAAGATGTTAGTAAGACTGATTGATTTAGTTGAATAAACCAGTTGTCTAAAGACGATACTGCTTAGAGTGGGATATTTACAAAACCTTTTGAGTTTGTACTATTGCTATAATGTGGAAGGCACCACTCAAACGTTGAGTAAATTCATTGAATATGTTTATTTCGGAGGTTCCAAGACTTGGAATGTATGATAAAGGATGAATTCATGGAAGCTGAAGAGGTTAACTATGATTGCTAAACTCATTATTTTTTTACAGCTAGACAGTGAATCGTCGTGTCATGTGCATATGCAAAGCTATAAACTTATAAAGACTCATGATGTTGTTGAAACCACACTGGCAATGGACAATTATTGCAGGGCTTGCGATTGTGAGAAAGGTGCTGTTTTTATTTTCGGTTGCCCTATAAATTCTTTTCTCCTCATTTATTTTGAAAAGTATATTTCTATTACAGGGGATTTTTTTATAATGCATATCCAATAAGCTATTATGTGTACGAAAACTTGAATCAACATCAATGACAAAAAACTTATATTTGTTCTTCATTACCTGATAATGTTACCGTGGTTTCTACATAATTGCAGGGAAAAATGGCAGAAGGTATCGACTTTGACAGACATTATGGCAAACTTGTAATAATGCTTGGTGTTTCTTTCCAGTACACACTGAGCAGGTTAGCTTCTATTATGTTTCAGCGTCCGGTGATATAAAATATGGTTTTTTCCCGTTCATGTTTTATTAATGATCTCATTCTCATATTTTAAGGTTTACAAATGTTTACATATTTGGCTACGGGTGTAATAGTGTTGTAATTGCAGAATATTTATATTGATGGCAAGGCTGGAGTATTTGCGCGAGACTTTCCAAATAAAAGAGGTGACGTCTAACTTTTGATACTCCGGTAATCTTTCAGCATTTTCGTATAAGAATAATTATCTTTTTTCATTTCTTTTACAAATCAAGTACTTTATTTCGTATATGCTGAGTCGCCGACATATTTTGCTTGTTCAGAGACAAGCCGCCCAGTGTGTGGGGTGTGTTATCCGACCAAAGGTAGATTATGGAATGATGATTTTTGCTGGCAAGAGGTTATTTGATACTTCTTTTTCACATTTTACTGTTTTGAAGAGATTCACACACGCATAGCTTCTGTAGCTCAACATATAAGCATGATAAATTGTGTCATTCCTTAAATTGTTTGATTGTTCAAATATAACAACAATGACAAACATTCGAAGCTGTCTAGTTTGATATTGTCACATTTACGGGGTGTCCACCTGAACTTGAGTATTGACATGGCAGTTCATATTGCAAGAGAGGTCTCTATCTAATAAGTATCTTAAAACATTTACTTTCGAGAATCGACATTTTGTTTTTCTTTCTCCCCCTATTTTAATTAAGAATTATATTGATATTCATATTTGTTGAAACACGCAACACAGTGAACATTTGAACTTTTTTAAATATGCGCAGTTCTTAAGGAGGCACTTGGTAATAATGGGGCACCTGTAAGAAAACCCTTATGTCACAAGAAGAGTTTGAAAAGATGGTCAATGGAGTTAGAGATATGATGTTTTGACGAGTTTTTCTTCAGAATAGACGCGATAATCGACCGTGTTTGGGGAAGTGTTTTTGTGTTGGGGGCCTGGGGCAGAAATTTTGTGGTTTTCATTTCTTGGGTTTTTTGTTATGATGATGAAAAACATATCCGAGCTGCAGTACCATTTTAAATGTAGATGTCATGCTAACAAACTGAGTTCTGATTTAGCTTTTAATGGTAGACTCAAGTGATTTAAATGCCAATATGGAAATAAGATACAAAACTACTTCAACTAATTGAGCTATTTCAGTTCTCGACTGATGCTAGGTATTTGTTGAGTACAAATTGTTATATTTTACCGAGTACCGAATCAAGGATTCGTTTCCCGGGTCGATCTCTCGAGGAAGGCGGTTCGGAATTTAACTTCGGTATTGATTTCACACAAAAAGAAAATAAAATTTTAAACACTCTAATCAGATAAGGGGGAATATATTATCAACTAAGAAATCAACAGCAAACAAAAACGAACCTAAAGTACGAACTAGAAAGCGAGAAAGAAGCTAGGGAATCGGGGATAAGTTATTCAAGTACTAAGCAAAACCGGGCAATCAATTGTTCGGTTCGAGATTGATACTCTCGCTTAGACATCTAGCGGTTCGCTCCCAATAACTCTTCGTAACAAGGGATTGAACATAGACGAGCTAGCTCGAGCATACAACACATGTCAATTATCCCAGTCTCAATAACTTTTCGTAACAAGAGACGGGTCATCAGCAAGTACGTATTTCAATCCAAAACCTATAGACTATTCAGTCACGAAATTATCTATCGCATGCGAGCCTAGGTCTACGACTTCTCCCCTTTCGGTTCTAAAAGTCGCTAATTCAATTAGAAGGTGTTTAATCAACTAATCATATAGAATCAACAAACCCTAACTCGACAATCAATACTCAATTGACATCAATTGCTAGATCGAAGTGTCACCCTTCGATTATATCAAGTTATCAAGCAAGAATTAATTAACCCTAATTAAAGCAACTCGCACAAGCATGAACAAATTAAAGCCCAATAATAACGAAATTAATCAAGAACAATCATCCCCTATCCCTAGTAGAAGGAATTAGCTGCGTAAAATAAATTCAACACAATCAATCATCTCTCTCAATTCAATCATTTTCATGAATTAAAAATAAAGAGAAGAACTTACAATAAATCGCAATTCCAAGTGTTGAATCTGAATTACAAGCTTAATCCCTTGATAAAGAAGAAGAAAAATGGAAGAAGGTGATGAAAAGAAGACAAAAAACGATGAAGAAGAAAGGAAAAAAAAGAGGAGATGGAATTTTCTGTGTTTCTCGGGACCTAGGGTTTTCACCCTGGTCGAGAGGTGATCATAATCTGATCGCAATCCCATATTTATAGTTAGGCGAGTGACACGGCGTGGAAATCCTAGCACGGCGCGGAGAAGGGCAGCCTCGCGGCGCGAAGGGTCCGTCACGGCGCGACACAAGGAGGCGTTGCGGCGCGGAGATCAGTCACGGCGCGGCACACTGCTGGACATTCATCTTCTGTTGGCCTCGTGGCGTAGGCGCGGCGCGACGTGGTGTGGTGTCGCGGCGCGGGGCGGGCAGCACGGCGCGGCAGGTTCTCTCTTCGCGGCGCGGGGGTAGGACACGGCGCGGCAAGGTAGGGCGTCGCGGCGCGGGATGTCCTTCACGGCGCGGTGGGAGAGGCAGCATCTTCTGAAGGCCCGTGACGGGTGCCACGGCGCGGCAGTCTGGGAGCTCCTATCCGATTGCAACACTCCGCGTTTTGTGTTCGTTTGCGCTCGTTTGATATCGAAATCCGAATCTGTTTTCTTCTTTGTGTTGTCGACGCAACGCTCTACTCAGCTAAATTCTCCCGGTTCCATTATCGTGAAAAATATATCCTCCCGAACCTTCTATCCTGCACACCAAAGGCGAAAGAAAAACGAAGGAAACCGGAAAAATACACGAAAAACACAGAAATACTCACAAAGACGCGAAACATGAAATAAACGACAAAACGACTCTAAAACCACATAAATGACTCAAAATGGGGGAAAAAGAAAGAGAAAATAGACACGACTAACGTAACAAAAATGAGACAAACAGTATTCAGTTCACTTTCTTCTAAAGCCTTTTGTCTACTAAACAAGAAACCTAGCTTTTGCCTTTTTGCAATTGAAAGATTGTGTTCTCAAATTATATTCTAAATCATAATTAATATTTATTGGATGGGTGACGTGTAATATGAAATCCAAAAGGTTCATGAAAGGTGACTGAGAAAATGATTTAAATTTACGAGATCCAATAATTCAAGTTGAACTATGTAAATATACTTCGAATTCACACAATCAAACTCACTAATTAATCAAATATCACTTTATGACACGACTGTCTTATAGAACATCACTTGGAAATATTTTCACAAAATATATTACATAATTATAATTATTAAATTAAAATTAAATAAAAGCTAATTTGGGTCCGGCTGTGCACAAACTAGTCTTAAAGATAATGGAATATACAAGTTTGTAAGTTAAAGAGATCATGATACGTAAGATAATACTAACTATAAGTATGGCGAACAGACGCGTATACAGTTATAACTACCACCAATGCCTATATTACGAGCCACAAAATTTTCTCACAAAATTTACTGTACATAAAACGTCTTCTTAAAATTATGGTGTCCACATAAAAGAATGAAATAAAAAGGCAAGAGCTAATGCAAGATGGAAGTCCGCCGCTCTCCAAGAAAGGGAGAATAACATTGTCTCCTTAATTTCTACTTTGCCATCTGATACACTTTGTTTTTAAACGCGCTTGATCACCGGGCTCTACGACGGCGGACCACGAGTTACAATCGTCTAGGTCTTGGACAGCGTCGATCAACATCTTCAAATAGTTGGGCCAACCAAAGCTAATGCAAGACGCATCCTCCCTCGAAGCTCGAAGTTGTTCCAAATACTCTCTGATGGTCGTATTTCTCGCCGTTTACTCCGCCGAGACCAAGGCCCGCAACAGGAATCCTGTCACTATTTTCAAACTCTAATTCCAGTCCGGGCAAGACTCTTGTTGGGGTTTTGTCGCCTCCTCTGGAGCCGCAGATGGAACCAAACCGCAGACTCTAGTTTTTTATTTTATTTATTTATTTTTTTGAGCAAAACGTGTGAATTTTGAAGTAGGAGAAAAATGTTATGTGGAGTTGGGATGGTAGACNAGTAGCAACAATATTGAGATATGTGAATATCTCATTCATATATATACAAGATACAAAATTTTGTTGGCCTTTGCTTGCATAAATTTATCTAGTTGATTTTCATTTTATCTTGAGTTTATAAATCAGTTTTTCTACTATAAATCTATATATAGTTTATTTTTAGTTTATTATAGGTTTAGAAATCATTACAAGTATACATTCATATAAATACAAGATACAAAATTTTGTTGGCATTTGCTTGCATAAATTTATCTAGTTTATTTTCAGTTTATCTCAGTGTTCTAAAAGTCGCTAGGCGCCCGCTAGGCGCTCGTAGGCGGTGTAATAGCCCAATTCCATTATTAATAAAAGTGACAGTTTTAGTTCTAAGTTTGAACTATTTCCTTTTATTAATATTGCTCGTTTCGAGATCCGAGCCCAATTATTCAGCTATTCAATCTTAGTTATTAATTCCGATCCATTTATTTTTAGAAATAGATTTTATTCAGTCAGGATTAATTATTTTCAGTTGACGAATAATCGAAACCGAGTATGTTTCGATAAATCGTCCAAGTCAAGCCGTGTCCGGAACCGAGTATGTTCGGTCACGAGTATTGCGCCTAGTTCGCGCTTAGCCAAGTCTCGAGCCTAGTAGCCCCCAAGTCTTGATCAAGCCATAGTCGCTTGTAGCCTTACTTAAAATTTTTCTAAGTACGAGATCAATATTATTGAGCCTTAGAACCTAGTATTTTTCCTTGGCCAAGATACCCTCACCTAGCTCGTGTGTGGTGCTGAGTCACTCGTGCCAAGCTTTGCACGAGTCAAGCTTTATGTCATAGCCGAGTTTTGAGGATATTTTTCTAAGTCTTCTGGCTCCTAAGTGAAGCCATAATTCAGCCCCAAGGATGTGCTAATACAGGCCCAAGTAGATGGCATTTCAGCCCGCACCATGGCAAAGGCCGCGCCCAAGGCCTCGCGCGAAGCCTATTTCCGAGCCCAATGCTTTGTATTTCGGCCCAAGTCCTTAGCCCATGTGTCATGCGAATTTTCAAGAGTTTTTTAGGGTCAAATTCAGCCTAAGTCTTGGTCAAGAGTGGACAAGACAAGTCAAAGACACTAGCATAGTGTTTTGTGAGTGGGGAATTATTTTAATGGGCTAAAAGCTAGTCTTGTCCCCTACTCACCTCCCTAGCCCGACCAGTCCACTCCACTATTTGACCACTTCGTTCAGCCCAAATTCAGCATCCAAGACCCTCAATTCGTGCCCCAAGATCAGCACCTAGAAGACATGCACCTAGGGTAGTGTAGTGTGCCATTTTGTCCCCCATTATGTTGTCTTGGTCCCTCCACCCATGACCCACGTTTTAAGCCTCTCTCCTCAAAATTTTTCCAGCATTTTGGCACTTAGAATACTCAGAAATATTAAGAAAAGATAGAGGAAAAATCGAGAGCACCCAAGCCAAGTCATCTCACGCGCGCGGGAAAGGAAGAGGAAGAGGGAGGACCGAGCTTCACCTAGTTCCAACCGTGTGCTCTTGAGGCTTATCATTTTCTAAGTCTTCCTTGGATTTTTCTAAGTCTGTAGAGCTCATAATCCTCAACCATTTACCCCTCAAAGTCGAGCCAAGTTCTAAGGTCCCGAGTAGAGCACGAGCCAAGAACACATAGCACCATTTCAAGTTTGGTGAAAGGTAAACTCGCGTTTTTCTTTTTCTCAGCTTTAACATGATAAATTAAGAATTATCATGAAGAAAAATGAGGTCATGCACATGCTTAAAGATGAGTTTCGAATTTTTGAAAGTTAAGACCTTAAATTCGGATTTTAAGGCACAAGCATGAATAGGCCGATTTTAATAGCTCATTTTCCCTCAAAAATCATGTATATGACATTGGTAAAAG